AAAAAAAAAATCCAATCAGTGTCGCCAAGGACAGCTAACAAACGCTGCTAGCTGTTACACAAATACGAATATATCCAACTTTTGGTCACAACAATATTTCCTGTGAGATGATGCGTTCTTTCTATTATCTCAATGGTATTAAACTGACAAAGTACCTTTTTTGCGGCTTTTTTGACTTCATAATATTTGAATAAATAACTTGAGTACCTAATATTATGATCTTAATAGCTGGTCTTGTACCATAGAACAAGGCTTATACCCCTGTCTTGTACCCCTGTGCAAATTATCTACCTTGTCTCTTCACAGTACTTTCAGAAAAGTTTGCTATTAAAAGGTTGGTATCACTGTGCCAACTAAGCCTTATTGTAGAGACAAGGGATATGACAGGGATTATTAAAGATTATTTCACTCTTGTCTCTGCCTTATTGTATCTTCTGATAAAATTACGTACACGTGACGTTCTGTGTTATTCTTTGATTATATTGTATAAGCCTTGTTCTATGATTGTATTATTGTGAAAAGCAYATAATTGATRTGCAATTAGTCTTTATTTATGAATGTGTCTGGCCAAGAGCAGATGGACCAAATTACCTTCATATGCAGTCCTAAACTCTACAGAAATATATAGGTAAGAACCTATAGGAACGCATTAGTTTACTAGGCGAGGCTGTGAGAATGTCAACCAATTAAATTTCCATGAACCATTAAGACCTACTTATCAGTGCTTAAAACCATAATATACATGGCTTGAAGGTTAGGCCCATTTTCATCAGAAACAAGCGAAACGCAGTTTGACGAAACTAAGTTTATGTTAAACGCCGAAATTAAACGCGTTTAACAACGGACCGTTTTCACCAGCGTTTCGGTACGTTTCCCAAACTGCGTTTATTGAAACGCAGTTTAAGAAACTGGAAGCACTGGCATCGTTGCAAAAGTGAGAAATATTACGATTCTTATCGCAAAATCATCTTGTCAAGGAATTTGGGTCCATGACGTCAATAACCCGTTATCAAACCCAAACTTTCTGCTCGAACTAACCGTATAATTTTAAAGTTTGCTTTGTTTATGCACGGTTTGTGCATTCGTGTATGGCTTATGACTGGTATACACGTTTTTATTAGATTTTCTATTTGAAAAGTTAC